AAATACTTCATCACAGGTTTCAGAGTAACCGCCGTGTTAGCCTGTATTCGCAAAAAGAAAAGGAGGACTCGTGGCACCTTAGAGACTAACCAATTTATTTGAGCATAAGCTTTCGTGAGCTACAGCTCACTTCATCGGATGCATACTGTGGAAAATACAGAAGATGTTTTTATACACACAGACCATGAAAAAATGGGTATTTATCACTACAGAATCTTATGCTCAAATAAATTGGTTAGTCTCTAAGGTGCCACAAGTACTCCTTTTCTTTTTACGTCATCACAGAGGGATGAATGGAGAAAAACAACGGGGGGAAGATAAGGGAGCAGTAAAACAGGATTATATCCAACACAAGGCCCCAGTGGTACCACAGACTGAAAGGGGCAGACACTGAGCAATGCATCTACACTCAGACTTTTTCAGACTCCTGAAAAAAGTTCCAGTCTGGCAGTGAGTCTTTGGTACCCGGTCGTCTTCAGCACCAGTAAACTTTCCCCACAAACCCCTCCAGTGCCCTCTTCTGCCACTCTCTACAAAGCCACACAGAGCAACAACCTCCCCACTTAAGTAGCTACAGCCTCCCTCTTTATTCCCAATGCAAGATCACAAGCCCCAGTACTCACAGCCCCACAGAGCTCTGGATCAGGCTCTGGTTTGTCCTTCTCGGGTGATTCCTCCCTGGCACTGTGCTCCTCCTAGCTCCAGTCGTGGGGTGGCCCAGTCAGTCACTTTGTCCCTCCCAGGCTCTGGGCTCGTTCTCTGCTGCTTCATTACATGAGGGCCTGCTCAGTGTAGCCCTCTTGTCTGGAGCTACACCTGCCCTGTCACTCTCCCACTCCCCAGGCCTGAAACAACATGCACTTCTGCCTCAGAACAAGGTTTTAAAGGGGCCATGCTCCCTGAACTCCAAGGGCATTACACTGGCAAATACTTAACTAAAGAGTGTTAAGTAATTAACACTCGAACTGTTGGTTAGAGTTTGAAAACAGACTAAGAACAAATAGGAACAGAATTCCTCAAGAATCTTCAGCAGAGACTGCAAGTCATGATTTTTCAATCTATTCTCAAGAGACATGCCAAATGTTGGTTTTAGGGCGGAGTCCCACCAATAGTGAAGTGTGCAAAAGACTACCCGTTGGCTTTGTGCCCTGCGATTGCCTCAGACTAGTGCTGTTAGTCTCTAACTTTCAGGTGCACTAATATTCAATCACAAAAAACAATGCAATATCTACAGGAGAAAGAGATCCCCGTCTCTTACACCTTATAAATTTAGAGATGAATTCATGAAATTTAAAGGTCATTATGTGCACATAACTATTGAAACACTGTTTCCAACAGAATGTTTACACAGTTGTCTGGAAGCATATTGTTTGCCTACTTTTCAAAGCCAATTTCAGTTCAATCCACATAGCCGCATGCATGAAATTTCGGACAAAAACACAGATGCACAAAAAAATCCCAGGCATGCTATTATTTATTGTTTGTATCCCAGAAGTACCTAGAGGCCACAATTGGTGTTTGATGCTGTTCTAACACAGAGCAAAAAGGCAGTTCCTCTCTAGAAGAACATACAACAAAATGTAAGCTAAGACGCAACAAGTAATTGTAACAACAATTGAAAAGAATGAGGGATAAACAGTAAGGGTAAAAGTAACAAGATCATGAGTTTGCAGAGACTAGCTATGCGCACGAATAGATGGTCCTGAGTTGGTTCATGTCTTTAATTATTTTAAATACGATAAATATCAGAAGTTCCTACTGGAAACATCTGCTTAGCTGTAATCAGCTGGCAACTAACCATAGGCATCTGGAAGAAGTCGGTCTTAAGGAGCTATTTGGAGGAGCACAGTGTAATGGATTTATGGATTAGTTTAGGGGGAGTGCACATGCATAAGAGTCAGAGTGGAAGTAAATGGGAAAGTGCTTGGATGACAGGTGAACTAATAAACAGGGGCTAACAGCATTGTCAAAACAGAAGAGGAAGGGTTGATAAAAGAGTAGACAAGTGGGGAAGGGTTAGGTTGTGAAAGACCATAAAGGAGGAATAAAAAACTTCCATATGACATGTTCTATTGGACTCGAGAAGGGGACTGACATTGTCACTGTGACAGGTCAAAAAGGTAACTTTGCAACATCATTTTGCCTAGATAGGAGAGTGAGGTGAATGACAGGAAGGTCAGAGAAGATGCAGATAAGCACCAGGGAGAGTTTTAGTCATGTAGACTGAGGGAATAGGCCCAAGAGTGGAAGTGCTAGGGAGGAAGAAGTGGCAAGGCTTGGATACAGCTTGGATGCATGGTTCTAAAGAGGGTGAAGAGTCAAAGATGATTCTCATGATGAATCTGAGTGACAGGAAGGATGGTAGTAGTGTCAGTGGTGACTGAGAATGCAATGGAGATCTTGAGAGGAATGAAAGGAGCTCAATTTTAACCAAGTTACAATGAAATAGATAGCAAAATAGCCACAAGGAGATGACAGAGAGACAGGCCAAGATGCAAGACTGTGGAGAGGAATCAGGTCAGGAATGGATCTCCAAACAACCGAATTTGTGAATTTACGTTCCGGTTTCGGTTCATTGTAGTCTCGCTCCCATTGAAGAAAAAGGAAGTTTTGTCATTTGCTTCAATGGAAGGCGCTTGTTTTCCCGTTGCTTTGCTGTTCAATTTGGCAAGCCCGTGCAGGGACTGGCGACACTGTACTCCTCTTTGTAAACTGGAGAGTACCATATCAGAAACTCATTTACAGTATGAGGCCATTTGGGGCCTACTCCACACTAGGCACCTACATGATTGAAGAGGCACTCTCTCTTTGGACAGTACAGAAAGGCATGGAGCTGTCCAGCTGATGTGACACTCAAAAATTGCAAGTGGGAAATGCACACAATCAGCTAGACCTGCCCTTTGCTTTAGTCTTTCTGATATTAGATACAGAATGAGCTGACATTGCACAGCCTATTTGGTTAATAGGAAGCTCCTACAAAAGAAAGTTGACGGGTTTGGCCCTGCTGGCTACTAGCAAGCTTGTTGCTAATCACAAGATTTCTCACAGTGACAATAACAAGACACTGTAACAGCTTAGAACTGAGAAATGTTCCAGGTTTAAACAGTCATTGGTGCAGGACTAGAACTTGGGTCTGTAAACTAGATACTGTAATCCCTCTGCTATAGCCATTCTGACTACTCTTTGGCCCACTGACTATTGAAGTATTTCATACAAAGCGAAGCAGCTTCAACAGGTGAGATTGAGAAAGCCCCTCCCCTGACCCACTTCAGAGTTCCCTGTAGCCCAGCACTTAGCATACTCACTTGGGCAGTGAAAGGCCCGGGGGGTCAAGTGCTTGCTCTGACACAAGAAGAGTGGGGATTTGAACCCTGATCTCCCACATCCAAGCTGAATGCTTTAAATACTGTGTATAAAAAGGGCATCACGACCTCCAATTTCCCCCCTTCACACAGGGCTGACCTGAGTTAAACACCTAATTCCAGGAGAGGGTTCACAGCTGTGAATCCCAAGTAGCATTAAGTGGACTTGAGGCCAACCCTCTACTCAGCATTTGCTACTGGCTATCTTAAGCAGCATCCCACTCAGCTTCTGTGAATCTCATTGTTAGGTGCCTAAATCTCCGCATACATTTATGGGGAGCCTGTGCACCTGAGTCAGGGCTGAAGATTCCAGTAAGTGGCAGGGGACCTAAAGTTAGGTGTTGCAACACTGAACCTAAGTCCTCTTTGTGGATCTAGCCCCAAATTGCTCCTTAAAATGTGATGCCATATAGAGATACCTTTTATGCCTTTGAATAGGGCAACCCTTGGGAATTATTGGTTCGCCGCCCCAAAAAATGTGAAGCAAGAAATATTCTGTTCTCTATTAGCTTTTTTATTTTTAAACAAACCCTCAGTTGGGCTAGTGTGAATTCCTTATAGGCCCATGCTCATAGATCAGATTACTGTGCCGGTGATGGCTGGCTTTCAAATTTATTTCACACATTTTCGGGAAACAGATGCAGATACCTGGTAAATAGCAGCACCTGACTTAAAGATGGGTCATCAGCCTCAGACCTCTCAAGTAACATCTCAGTTTGGTGGAGAATGTTAATCTAACCGATGAACATATTTCAATGGGTGGAAATAAAGTCCCTTATCTAGTTACTGACATATTGATTCACACCTTTATGTTGTTCCAGGAGTATTTAAACACTCTAAACCCAAAGGAGTGTGATGATCTCTGTTTCCAATATTGTTTGGTCAAGCTGGCTTTTTGCTGCATCCCAAAAGTTTCCCAGCTGTCGCACAATGACTGAAATAACTATAGGGTTTAGATTTTTTAGAACACTTTATTAAACAAAAATTAATCACTCCCATCTACTGATCCAGATTATAAGAAAACAAAAATAATATTAATAAAATAAAACCAGCAAACATTCACTGCATTTTCACGATTGTACATGTCAGTATTTCTGACATGATTACAGTACAGATATTGATAAAAAAATATTTTGTGGCATTTTAAAAATAAAGATCATATGACTGATTTTGTCCTAACTTCAGTATTCTGTAACTGACAGATCATGTGCCAGATTCACCCCCCAATGTAAAATAATTGAAGCCAATGGAGTTATACTGGAAATGAATTTTGGCTCCTTGTTTTCAGAGTGTTTTTGAAAAATGCTAATGGAGGTCACAGTAAATTGCAGACTGCCAAATGGCTAAATGGAAGTATGCAGGGTGGCATAGTTTCTGTTCTACTGCAGCATATGGCCTACACCAAGGAACTGCCAGAGACTATTCAAGTCAATGGAACTCTTTCTGTTGCTTTTAGTGGGCTATGGCTCAGGCTCCCAGGACTCAGTGCTAAGAAAATGCAACCATCCAAAAATGGGTATGATTTTTATTCCCTGGAGTGCAACTTTAGGAAAGTAGTGCATTGGAGCCCTGCCATCTAAAATATATTGATGGGTTGCAAGGAAGGCACCATGGCAACCGTTTCCATAGCTTCATCTTAACCAATGGTCTGCTCTTTAAAGATCAAGTCTTAATTCTCCTCTAATTTTAATCTTTTAGTAATTATTTGAGGCCAGTGTTTAATATATTTATGGCCTTCCATACTCTGAGCAATGATGACAAAACAGCAGTTCAGTTTCCATGTTTTATTCAAATACAGACATTCCTCCAAATGCACATCAGTGTGTGAGCCTATTGCTATGCATGTTCTGTCCATCAGTAAGTCATCTATTTATCTTTACAGCAGAGGCATTTCTAGTACACCTGTCACCATTGTAGCTAAACACCAGTTAAAAAACTAAGAACCCAGTTTTGCAATTAGTTATTACCAGGCATAGAGGTTATAGTGTAAGTAATCCCTTCAATGGGAAAGCTCATGGTAATAAACCCTATGCCCAGTAGCTATTCTTGGTAGGATTAGATCCTAATCTAACATTAACATTTTCCACAGGGATATAAAATGGGACTTTCTATGATCTCTAGCTGTTAAGTTTATTCATATCAGTGTAACACAGGTTGAAAAATCAGATTGTATTTAACAAGGTAGCCATTATTGTAAACATACAAGATATGGTCTGAGGGGTTATAGTTGATACTCTGAACTGTTTCTAACATTTTGTCCATAATGATGTTAATTTTACCTTCCTGTTTGGTGTTGGTGTCATACGTGTAAAATATTTCCTCTTCCCTAGTGTTGATAGGTCGTGTGGCATATAGAACACCACATATGATGAAAGTGTTGGAAACAGATGGCTTGTACTGCCTTGTTTTCCAAGTATGGAGCACATCAAGTGTGGTCTCATTGAGTTTGCTAATCACAATGTTACCTGTGCTTTCTTCAGTTGAATAAATTACCCATAATCCACTTTCATCCACAGCAAAGTCCATATCTTGCCACCCAACACCAGCATAAGAGAAACGGTTACCATAAGCAGCATTGGGCAGAGTTTTCCTCACAGTTAATGTGTTTGTGTTTAAATCAAGCTTGCCCATATCTCTTGAATTATATATATTATAGTACATGAAATTATTGTAAACTGCAGTGCCACTGCCTTCCCCGTAGGTAATTCTTTTATCTCTAGCATTTTTGAATAGCAGCAAATCATCATAGGAATCGTGAAGTCTGTAATATTCCAAGACTCTCCCTTCTGTGTTCAAAGGTGCAACCCAGTACAGGTCCTTCTCTGGGGTCTGAAGAGAGTAATCCCGACCCCAGGCACCATATTTGAAGGAAAATCCTCTCCAGTTCAGCTGTACAATATAGGGCTGGCTGATATTCACAATTCCACCATGACCACAGCTACCTGTAAGCAAAAAGAAAATGCAGGCTTTTCAAATGGCATGATTAGAGGAGAAGATTACAGTGTGTGCTTTATAAGAATTAGCTTTGTTGCAAGAACAGAAATACATACATATCTTTGTCAAAGATTTGCTTTGCACCGTGTAAATAGCGCATGGATGTCATTACTGTAGCTGTTCCAGTCTGACTGAGATACAGAGGTCAAAGCCCCATACCACTAGAATGGGGGTCATACTGAAAAAATAGCCAACAATCCAGCAACAAATTATAGGGACCTCTGTTTTCAGTCAGTACTCACTTGCAGTAAATAAGTGATCAGCTTAGATAAGTGATCAGTTTTCTGTTTCCACCTATTCTATGCTTTCCAACCCGATGGGCTGGGAAATCACATAGAAAATACAATTTCAGAAGCATTTTAGGTCCTTTGCTCCTTTAGTAGAGCATAGTTCTGGGAATATAGGAAACAAGAAAATGGGACATCTTGTCTCACTATACAACAATGAATTTTAGAAGTTGGAGGGAGAAATAGCAGCACTAGTTCTAGAGGCTCATTTCAGATTAGCAGGCTGCTGTCAAAATCACCACTTAAAAACAATACATCACAGTGCCTTCCACCTGAGGCTCTCAAAGCAATTCAGACATTAATGAGCACAGCCTTACAACAGCTCTGTGAGCTGGTGTTAAATATCCCCAGTTTACATGTGAGGTAACAGTCCTGGTGTTTTTTACGATGACCCAGGAGCTTCAGGAGCTTGAAATAGCCAGTGTTTTTCATTTCATCAGCCCAAATGTTTGGTTTTTTTATAGCTACACAATGCTTGTTCAAGATGTATTGCTATGCTGAGTAGAATTTGCACTATTTACCTAGAACAAACAGCCCAGTGGAATGAGCATTCAGTGGAATGAACAATGTCTGGAATGAAGAGAACTTGAATGAACGCTATCAAAGCTATTCCTTTGCTCAAAGCCACTCTTTTGCTCAAAGCGACTGTTGGTGACACTTTGTTCAATGTTTCACAATGAACGCAGACCACGACATTATTGGAACATAAGAACATAAGAACAGCCATATGGGGTCAGACCAAAAGTCCATCTAGCCCAGTATCCTGTCTTCCGACAGTGACCAATGCCAGGTGCCCCAGAGGGAATGAACAGAACAGGTAATCATCAATTGATCCCTCCACTATAGCCCATTCCCAGCTTCTGGCATACAGAGGCTAGGGACACCATCCCTGCCCATCCTGGCTAATAGCCATGAATTTATCTAGTTCTTTTTTGAACGCTGTTATAGTCTTGGCCTTCACAACACCCTCTGGCAAGGAGATCCACAGATTGATTGTTCGTTGTGTGACAAATACTTCCTTTTGTTTGTTTGAAACCTGCTGCCTTAAAATTAATTTCGTTTGGTGACCCCTAGTTCTTGTGTTATGAGAAGGTGTAAATAACATTTCCTTATTTACTTTCTCTACAACAGTCATGATTTTATAATTCTCTATTATATTCCCCCCTTAGTCATCTTGTTTCCAAGTTGAAAAGTCCTCGTCTTATTAATCTCTCCTCATATGGCAGACGCTCCATACCTCTAATCATTTTTGTTGCTCTTTTCTGAACCTTTTCCAATTCCAATATATCTTTTTTGAGATGGGGCGACCACATCTGCATGCAGTATTCAAGATGTGGGCATACCATAGATGCATATAGAGGCAATATGATATTTTCTGTCTTATTAGCTATACCTTTCTTAATGATTGCCAGCATTCTGTTCACTTTTTTGACTGCCGCTTCACATTGAGTGGTTGTTTTCAGAGAATTCTCCACAATAACTCCAAGATCTCTTTCTTGAGTGGTAACTGCTAATTTAGACCCCAACATTTTATATGTATAGTTGGGTTTATGTTTTCCAATGTGTATTACTTTGCATTTATCAACACTGAATTTCATCTGCCATTTTGTTGCCCAGTCATCCAGTTTTGAGAGATCCTTCTGTAGCTCTTCGCAGTCTTCCTGGGACTTAACTATCCTGAGTAGTTTTATATCATCTGCAAATTTTGCCACCTCACTGTTTACCCTTTTTACCAGCTCATTTATCAATATGTTCAATAGGACTGGGCCCAGTACAGACCCCTGGGGGACACCACAATTTACCTCTCCCCATTCTGAAAACTGACCATTTATTCCTACCCCTTGTTTCCTATCTGTTAACCAGTTACCAATACATGAGAGAACCTTCCCTCTTATCCCATGACTGCTTACTTTGCTCAAGAGGCTTTGAGGAGGGACCTTGTCAAAGGCTTTCTGAAAATCTAAATATACTATATCCACTGGATCCCCCTTATCCACATGCTTGTTGACCCCTGTCATAAATATAAAGGGAAGAGTAAATCCCTTTAAAATCCCTCCTGGCCAGAGGAAAAATCCTCTCACCTGTAAAGGGTTAAGAAGCTAAAGGTAACCTCGCTGGCACCTGACCCAAATGACCAATGAGGAGACAAGATACTTTCAAAAGCTGGGAGGAAGGAGAAAAACAAAGGGTCTGTGTCTGTCTGTGTGATGCTTTTGCTGGGGACAGAACAGGAATGGAGTCTTAGAACTTAGTAAGTAATCTAGCTAGGTATGTGTTAGATTATGATTTCTTTAAATGCCTGAGAAAATAGCTGTGCTGAATAGAATGAATATTTCTGTCTGTGTGTCTTTTTTGTAACTTAAGGTTTTGCCTAGAGGGATTCTCTATGTTTTGAATCTAATTACCCTGTAAGGTATTCACTATCCTGATTTTACAGAGGTGATTCTTTTTTACTTCTATTAAAAATCTTCTTCTAAGGAAACTGAATGCTTTTTCATTGCCCTAAGATCCAAGGGTTTGGGTCTGTGGTCATCTATGCAAATTGGTGAGGATTTTTACCAAACCTTCCCCAGGAAGTGGGGTGCCAGGGTTGGGAGGATTTTGGGGGGAAAGACATGTCCAAACTATGTTTTCTCAGGAACCCAGATAAAGTTTGGTGGTGGCAGTGGAAGTCCAGGGGCAAAGGGTAAAATAGTTTGTACCTTGGGGAAGTTTTAACCTAAGCTGGTAAAAGTAAGCTTTGGAGGTTTTCATGCAGGTCCCCACAGCTGTACCCTAGACTTCAGAGTGGGAAGGAACCTTGACAACCCCCTCAAAGAATTCTTGTAGATTGGTGAGGCATGATTTCCCTTTACAAAAACCATGTTGACTATTCCCCAACAAATTATGTTAATCTATGTGTCTGACAATTTTGTTCTTTACTATAGTTTCAACCAGTTTGCCCTGTACTGAAGTCAGGCTTACTGGTCTGTAATTGCCAGGGTCACCTCTGGCGCCCTTTTTTAAAATTGCGTCACATTAGCTATCCTACAGCCATTTGGTACAGAAGCTGATTTAAAAATTGAAAAAATCCTCCACTCCAAAATATGCATGTCTCTCTGAGTCAGAAGCTGGCAGTGGTGACACCAGCACACTTTAAAATAAAAGTATCCTTTTGTCTGACTCTTTGCAGCCCTAAAAGATGTCAGCATGTACATGTGCCAGGTTTCTTTTTCCTTTAAAAATATGGTCATCTGAGACACAGATGCCAAGTGACTTATATAAGGTCACACAACAAGTGAGTGGCAATGCCAGGAATGGAACAAACATTTCCTAACTCGGGTGCTTTCACCGCTAGATAATGCTCCCTTCCTCTTAGAGGTGAAGGAAATTTTATCTGCCAAGTTTCATGTTTCTATTAATTGATCAATTCACGGCAACAGCTAATGACATCATAAACACCTAGATCAGGGCAGAGGCTGCACGTGCTCTGGTGGAGGGGGTGTTTTTAACACAAGTCACTTATATTTTATCTTTTCAGTGAATATCATTTGATGGCTGTTTGCAAGCCTTTGTGAAAAGAGTTGCTGGTCTTAGTCTATTCCAAATAGAGAAGAGGCCACAGCACAAATAACACCATCACCCCCTTATTAGCACTGAGAACAGAGATAACAAAGACAGAACTATGCTTTCATACCTAAAGCTGGTCCCCTTTAAGGAGGGTTGAAGAGCACCTGTGGAGCAGAATAGGGAACACTGACAGGCTCAGACGAGCAGGTTCCTTTGGCCAGAAACATCTTCTGAACAGTCCACAATATACAAAGCAATGTGCAGAGGAGGGAGAACCCCTTGTGGTCAGTCTGAAGATGCTCTCCCTGGGAAATGATTGGAACACACCTGCCACTTGGAGAAAACTGGTGCTTGTGTAACCCACACACCTCCTGGGTATGGTGTTCCATCTCATCTAGTGGCACCCGAGACCACGTAGAGAGAGAGTTAAATGAGTCTGCTCTACAACCTTAGCTAACAAGCAGTTGGCATTTAGATCATATGGTAGAGGCTCATACACTGAGCTCCAGAGATCCCCGGTTCGATCCTGCCTCCTGATGATTGGGATCTGTCCACGTTACAAGTTGGGGCTTGTCCAGGATTTCAACTGGAAAGACTCTGAAGCTTGGGACGTGCTTCCTCAGCTAGGGGAAGTATGTAACCCACACACCTTCTGGGTGTGGTGTTCTGTCCCACCTAGTGGCACTGAGACCACTTAGAGGGAGAAATAAAATGAGTCTGCTCTATAGCCTGAGCTAACAGCCCGTTGGCTTTTAGCGTATGCTGTAGAGGTTCATGCACTAAGCTCCAGAGGTCCCAGGTTCGATCCTGTCCACCAATGACCGGGGTCTGTCGGCGTTACACTTGCAAATGCAAAACATTTCTTGTTCAGAAATAGAGGGATCAAAGTCATCCCTGGCAGGGATGATTTATCAGCATCTAGCTAGAAGGATGCACCGCCATAGAGGCAGGACTGTATCTTTGTGGCCTTTCAGTTTAACTATTGGTAACATCTACAGAATCCAATGTTAATGTGCATTTAACTGTAATTGTAACATTTGTGGCAGTCTATGAAATATGGTTTTTTCAGTGAAACTCACCATGTCTCACTTGCTTTTGTCTTTCCACCTTTC